GGTGAGGGGGCGCAGTTCCCATAAACATCATATACCACTTAAAACAAACGTAATATTACCCATGTATTCCAGCATACAAGGTAGTTAATTAATGTCCCACAATATTGTATTAATAAATGAGGGTTAATGAAGAAACAGTCTCAATATATATAAAGCTATCGTATCTGAATAGCCTGAGAGGATATGGCACATGCACAATATAATACTGCTAGGCTAGTAGTTTGCACAGGAGGTTGCAGTACAGATCTTTGCCAGCAGATGGCGATATAGTCCAGCAGCAACGTATCACAATCTCTATATAGCCCAGTTACTTGCGGTTTGTTAGAAGGAAGGCAGCCGTGTATTATGGCCTCTATCTAGATAAGAGCTGTGCAGGGGGTCTCAGGTGTTGTCCTCCTTCACTCCTGTGAAGTTTAAAGCTTGTAAGAGGGGAGATCAGCAGGCGGGTAGGAGAGCTATTGCTCAACGTACAGTCTCCATTGACTGAACGCCGAGCAATTGAATCTCCCTCGCTTTTACCGAGGAAGCCGGCGTCAGTGGGCGGAGCTACGCTCGTCGCCCCCGGGAGAGCGACGTCGCGGTGTGGCGTCTGAGCTGGAGGAGGGGCCGGGATCTGCGGCCGAGACGCCGCTGCTGATTACGTCCCTGACACCAAGTTTGGGAGGGCAGAGGGGGGCGCGTACTCCAGGCCGTTTAACAGCGTTCTGAAGGCTCCAGAGAAGGGCCCGTCTAAAGGGATTCCGGGATGTCCTGTTTGATAAAACATCTGTGACGGCTGGAGCAGACGCCATGTTTTATCAAACAGGACATCCCCGCATCCCTTCAGATGTACATGTTCCTGCCTGGCCCTGAATGATATGTACATGTCGGGCCCTGACAGGGTGTCCTTCCAGTGATCAGGATCAGAAGGCAGAACGGAGACAGAGCGGGCAATCAGGTATGGAGGCGGCGGGGGGAAGGGGGCGGGGACAAGTTAATGTGACATTACAGTAAAAAAAAGTGTTTCCCTCCCCCCAATGTTAATTAAAGCACTTACCTTAAATGATGCCTCTTAATCCGATCTTCTTTTCATCTGTCCCTCCAGCGCTGACTCCTCTGAGCTTGCTGGTACTTACTGTCCCACGGTGTCTGCATGCGGGTGCACGCGTCCATAGACTTACCTTGCGTCTCTCCTCGTCTCCCGGCCAGAAGACACAGGTAAGTTGAAACCACTTTGAAAGCGCAAAGCACAACTTGAGACCCCACCAGGCCACCCAAGACCCCGCACAGCCCACCCGAAACACCACACAGCGCACCTAAAATTTCGTACAACCCACCAGAGACCCCAGCGGTAGGAATCTCCACCTGGGCCAATCTGTTGCACTTTTTCCATCTGACCACAGAAAATCTGCAGATAATTGTAAGGTGTATGGGCACTTTAAGACTATTCCCCCTTCTACACTTTAAACTCCCTAATCCCTTAGCATAAACTCTGCAACATACAATTTAACCTTTGCTTTATCGTAATAACAGCTGGATGTACAAGAACTAAAAAAAGAAAAAATAAACTTTTCTTATTTTACAATACTGAAAGGTAAGTCCCAACCATTATTTTATCCCAAAACTACAAAAAAGAAAAAAAAAAGGACAGTCCTTTCTGCATTACTTCCTAGCAGAGGCATTCTATTAACTGTGGGATTTAAAAAATGTATTATCTCCACCCTGGCATATCAGGTACAGTAATCCTCAACTGTGAACAAAAAGATTCTACCTCTTCTGGAAAGTGTAGAGATACAGAGCATCCATTTTTTTTTCTAGCAGTAAGTCAAAACAGATACCCCCATCTCTGCAGCTTTAAGAATATCCAAAAGTGGTCTAAACAGTCTCTGTTTTGCCAGTGTTTCCCTTTGCCAAATTCAAAAAGAACAACAAAGTCAGATGACACATTCCGAAGTTTATGCACTAATTCCAGTTTGTCTTCATAGTAGTGAAATCAACATAACATCTCTGGGAGTATCAGCCATACTGCCCTTCAGACGCCTTACTCTTACTACTTTGCGTTTTGTGGTCAAAACGCAAAGGTGCAGTCTCTGGCTGACCCAGGATATGATTAAATATGCCTCGCAACATAACCTCCAAGTATTAGCTGTCGCTTCAGGCACTCTAAGTACTTGTAATACAGGTCAAGTCTAGTTTAATTCTCCTCCACCCTTTTCAGTAAATGAGAGAGCTCAACCAAAAATACTATCCAATTCATGCTTACTGGAGTTCTCTAAAATCAGCAACATCTGTGCTATGTCAGCTTTGCTTCGTAATTCCTGCATGTGGCTTTGAGTCTCCCTACCTTCTTCCTGTATGTAGTTGGGGAGCTAAATTACAAGGAGAGCCAGGAAAGGTATGCAGCATAGGGACCCCCCATGGGGGCCTTACCTCAGGTGTTCCCGGCTCTGATACTGCATCTTCTGTTGCAACTCCACCTCTGCTGCCAGGTATCTCCTCAGGGCATCAGATCTCCCAGATTATTGCCCTCTCCTGCCCATCCTCCTCCGTGGATGTCCCGCTGGCGTATGTCAGCCACCCATTTGTCCTCCTCTGTGGGCGTCGTGCCAGCGTGATTTAGCTGCTTACTCTCCGCCGCCCGTTCTGAAGCTTCACTCAGTCACGCCCGCAGGGCTTCATATGCACAACCTTTTGACCTATTTCAAATCAATTTCAATTCCATCTTTAATATATTATCAGAAATGCAGTGATTATATTGTGCTTGTGTGCAATACAATATTTACTGAAAATATAGATTTGATAAGCAGTTGCACTAACACTATGTTTAATAAAAAAAACTTCAACTATAATAACTTTATTCTATATGCCCTCTGTGCTCAGGTAATATGTATTTGGGAGTTTTGAGTAATCATCAGGGCAAGAACAGGCAGCAAAAGAGTTAAAGCCAAGTGGTCAGTATGTTAGTTATGCAACTACCATTTTTAGAATGAGGTCAATATTAGAAGTGTGTGCGTTTCATGACAATTTTCCTCTACGGACAAAAGTGATTTTTACATTTCTGTTATGGGCCTGTTTTTTAGGCACTAATTTTATAATTACTTAACAGCTTCAGGAGCGCCTATTGTAAAAAAAAGTCCTGTCCTGAAGCAACACGGCTGCTGCTTGGTATCATTTTAAACAGCAGGCGATTGCTGTTTAAATACAAGCAATCCAACGGCTGTACAGCCGTGAGATCGCTTGTACGGTCCTCCCCCGCCGGCTGCTGCCCACCCTCCGCCGCCGGCTTCACTGGTCTCCGCTTTCCCCGTGCAGCTCCAGGACCAGCGTGGCGGGTCTACCCTGACTGATTGGAAAAAGATCAGCAGGCTTTCAGCCGCTAATCTCTCCTCTGATCACTGGACTGGAAGTGATGGGTATTGCATCACTTCCGGTCACTGTGTGTATTCTCCAGCTCTTAGAGCCAGGAGAAGCTGGGAAAGCAGATCTCTGCTTCCTCAGCATCTTTGGGGTCCCTAGGGGACATTAGGGATCTGAAGGGACCCCTGATTTCTCCATAAAGACAACCTGTCACATTATATTTGCTATTACATAGGGGGCGTCTTATCCCCTTTTGTGATAGCAATAAAGTTGAGTTAAATTTTTAAAAAAATAAACATAAAGAAAGAAAAAAACTTTTTTGTAAAGTCCCCGCCCCCACATGCACATATAACGCAAACACGCATCAGGTGCGCCTACGTGTAACACGAAAATTGCATCACATATGTTACATGTTGACAGAGAGCAATAATTCTAGGGCCATCAATCACTGGTAACACTAAACTGATGAGCAGTAAAAGCATCGCCTTTGGTATTGTAGTTTTTTGCGGTTTCACGGATGCACGCAATTTTAAGGCTTGACATGTTTGGTATCTGTTTACCCAATGTGACCCCTTTTTTTATATTTTACCAAAAAATTGGGTATTATATTCTGTTTATGTGCACTAAATTTCATTTTAGTGTATTTTCTCCTAATAATACTGGTTTGCACAAATAACATGCAACATAAAAAATAGCAACTAGCAATTTATTTATTTTGTTTTTTCAAATTCTTTATTTAGAAATAGACAGGTGAGTAGCAACACACATTATAATAGCAATGCATCAAGTCAATACAGAACAATAACTAAGTAATCAGTGGTAACGCAACTTCAAGGAGTGCTCACATGGGTACACTGTGCGTTCCAATGCAGATCATTACATCATCTTTATCATGAGAGTTAAAAAAAAAAAAACATGAACTGTATGAAGATCAAACATGAAAGCAGTCAGGGAAGAGAAGGAGGAAAAAGTAGCATTTGTTTTTATCTACAGGGCCTCTGCTTTCAGAAAATATATAATTGTTTGGGGGTCCAAAGCTGTTTTCTAGCCAAAAACTCTGATTTTATTATGTGGGCAAATAGTAAGAAATTGCTCTGGCCAGAAAGTGGTTAAAGTAATATGTATACAGTTTGTTTTTATTTGCAGGGCACACATCACTTTCTTTTCTATATATTGTCTTGCAAAACATTTTTATTTATACAATCTATAAACATAGTAAAAAAAAACTAAATACATTTTTTTTTCTAGAAAGTTAAGACTGGGTAGGGTGAACCAAGGTTAAGGTAGAGGCTAAATAGGAATACATTTTATTGCAACAAAAACAGAAAAAAAACCCCTTTTAAACTCACTTTAACTTCATTATATGCAGATCATATAATATGAATGCATATGAATGAAACAAAGGAAATACAATGTAACAATAACGTTGCTACATTGTATTTAACTAAACTTCTGAACAGTGTTTCACACACTGTTCAGAAGCTTTGTTTTACATGGCCTGTGTACTTGGACAAAGTTTTTTTCCGGGTGAACACTAAACTGGGTAATAATATGACTTGCAAGCATTAAAATAGAAAAAGAGAAACAACTAATTGAATTAACCCATGGAACAAATGAAACCAAACAGATACATTCTAATTTTATTAGCAATATCAGTATTTGCGAACAAAATGGTAGGTATGTACAAACTAATTAGACACGTTCTTTAAAAAAAAATTCATAGTTTGCTTTCAGAACAAACTCAAAACATCGATTTGATTTCAAAGAGCCAAGTTCATCTGACTGAAGAAGAGCATTTACATCTGGTAAGTAACTTTTAAGGTCTTTGCCTGTAAAAACGCAATGAAAACGCAATGAGTTATAATCATGTAAGAGCACACATCATAAGATGATACTGAGATGCACGTGCGTATGTCAGGATTTAAAAAAAACAAATAAACAACACAAATGCAGTACATGCACATTTGTACATTATCTCATTGAAGACCCTGCAAGTACAGATAAATACCTGTTAATCCTGGAAAAAATGCATTCAGCTTATAATTTTCTGTTGTAGGCCAACAACAAAATGCTTTTTTGGACTGAAATCACAAGGAATGGTGTTTGCCAAACCAGTTTGCTTTTTTGCTGAACTACAGAATATCTCTCCACAACACTGAGGGTGGGGTTGTACCCTAAATGAAGAACTGGGAGTGCTGATTAGACTCCTCAAGATAAGACAAGCTGAGTGCACAGGACAGCACGAGAATTTTGCCAAGAACGCATATTTTTCGCACTTATCAAACAGATATAACACAATGCTTTCAATAGTATAATACACAAGCCAAAAGGGAGCAAATAGGAGATGCTTGTTAGGATTTACATACATTTTAACATATACTAATGCTAAGGTACTATCTACTGTTTTTCCTTGCCCTAGCCACTTGGTCATGCTAATGTTAGAAGGGCCCCAGGATAACCTTGGTTGAGGTAGACCGCATCTATAATCACTTATATAGCAAAGTACCAAAAAGTGTAGGTTACTGAAGTCACTCCACTACCAGTTATAGAAACTCTTCTGATCTGCTGGCATACAAAGCCTGATTATCTTTGCAGCTCTTGCAATATAGCTGAACACATACAACTCTCCTGCTGACAGAAGGGGCCTGATTCCAGTCTGCTAGCTGTAACCATCTGTTGGGAGAGCTGTGTGATCAATCAGCCAGATCGGAAGAGCTGTCAGGGATGAGAGGGCTCCATATATCAGATGAGGGAGAGGAATGACCGCAGACACCTGCACATTTCAGGACCTTGCCTAAGGCAAGCCAAATGCAAGAGAAATCATTAGAATCCCACATCTATTCTAAACAGGGTGGTCAGAGGAATCCCTGCATCTGGCAGTTGAATACTCAAATAATGCCTGCATCTGACTGAATGCAGGCACTACTCAGTGGACAATTTTCGGCCCAGCTCCTCTGACAAAATTTGATTGAAAAATTGATTTTTGGCAAACTGGCCGGTGCTGTCAGGCCCGCGTGCCCACAGACTACTCGAATTTTGGCTGAATCTGTGGAAATTACATATTACAAACAGTAATCAGTAAAATAAAACACAAAATAATTGAAAAAAATTGAAATAGTAATAATAACAGCAACGTACCAAATGTAATGCAATGGCTAACAGAAATCAAGGTTTAAAACAGACTAGATAAACTTAATGTGAATAAATCTCCATGACCAGATAACTTGCACCCATGAGTCCTAGTCCTAACAGAGATCAGCCAAGTTAACCCCTTCATGACTGAGGCCTTTTTTTCATTTTTTGTACCCATGTTATATTCCACATTTTAGGCCTGAAAATTACTTAAAACCCCCCAACATTATATATTTTCTGAATGCCAAGACCCTATAGAATAAAATGGTGGTAGTTGCAAATTTTTATGTTGCGCAATATTAGCGCAACTCCTTATTAAACCCCAATATTTAGTGAAAAATTTAATTAAATGCCCCAAAACACAACAAAATATCCATTTTTTTTAAATGAAATATAAAAGATGAGGTTACAACGAGTAAAACGATACCCAACATGCCCAGGTTACAAATTGCGTGCATCCGTAAAACAGCGAAAAACCCCGTTACCCCAAAAAGTCCATAGAAGACGCTTTAAAAGCCCCCACAGGTCATCAATTTAGAGATACCCCAAAATACTGGCCCTAGAATTATTGCTCTCACTCCGGCGTGCGCGGCGATACCCAACATGTGTAGCGCGTTCGTCGTTTTCATACGTAGGCGCACCCGACGCGTGTTTACGTGGCGATGCGCGTGCAAAAATGTCGAGCGAGCAAAACACTTCTATCGAAGTGGTCATTCATTGCCGCTCTGACGTCCAAGCTATAGTGCTTTACAAAGGTAGACTTAGATGCCCATGTTGCCGCTCTACAAATGTGATCCGCCGATACTCCCGATGCTGCTGCCCATGACGAAGATACGGCCCTTGTGGAGTGAGCCCTGATACCCTCCGGTGAGGGTACTCCAGCTGTACGATAAGCGTGAACGATGGTGGACACAATCCACCTGCTTAATGTAGCCTTGGCTGCTGCCAATCCCTTCCTAGCTCCTGCTGGAATAATGAACAGCCTGTCTGACTTCCTCCAGTCCTTACATCTCTCCACATAAGTTCGCAGACACCGGACCGGGTCCAAACATTCATCTTTGCCTACTGCATTGAGAGCCGGAAGGATGATATCTTGATTCATATGGAAACTACTGTGCACTTTCGGTAAAAAACCTGGTACAGTTCTCAAAACCACTCTGTCTTCATGAAAGATGAGAAAGGGTTGCTCACAACCACAGGCCTGGAGCTCCGAAATTCTCCTTCCTGAAGCCAGGGCCACCAAGGAGACTGTTTTGTTTGTCAAAAACTGCATGGAAACAGTCTGTATCGGTTCAAAAGGAGGGCCTGATAGAACCTCCAACACGAGAGGAAGATCCCAAGATGGATATAAGGACCTAACCGGAGGGTTCACCTTACTGACTGCTTTCAGAAACCTGGAAACGTCCTGATTTTGGGTCCATCTGACCTCGGTGACAGCTGATAATGCCGAGACCTGCACCCTGAGGGAACTAAGACTCATCCCTCTTTCCAGACCCGTTTGGAGGAATTCCAGAATTGCTCCCGATGAGATTGTAGACAGGTCAATGCCCATCTGGAGAACACTGCCCACATCCGATAATACCGAGGAAGTGGAGACTTTCCGTGATCTCAGAAGCGTATTGACCACATTCTGGGACAACCCTGAGTTTGTCAATCTCTCCCTCTCAACAGCCATGCCGTCAGACAGAGGAGCTGAGGATTTGGATGTTGGAGTGGCCCCTGAGACAGTAGATCCGACGTCACCGGAAGCTGCCATGGTGCCTGAATGCTGAGAGACATCAGGAGAGGAAACCACGGCCGTCTGGGCCAATACGGGATAACCGCAATAACCTTCACCTTCTCCCTGCGTATCCGCTGAAGTACTGCCATGATCATGGGAAAGGGCGGAAAGATGTAAGCCAGATCGCAGTTCCATGGGTGCGATAAAACGTCTTGGCCCTCCGCTCTGTGGTCGTACATTCTTGACAGAAACCGGGTGACTTGGCAATTTCTGTGGGATGCCATTAGATCTGAGGATAGCCCCATCTCTCTCCCAGTCTGTTGAAGATTTGTTTCGATAGAGCCCATTCGGTCGGATCCACTTGATTCCTGCTCAGATAGTCCGCCACCCGATTTTCTGGGCCTGGCAAGTAAATTGCCCTGATGCCTGCCACCTTCTTTACTGCCCATGACATCAGAGGAACTACCGCCCGTATCATGCCCTGACTTCGTGTTCCTCCTTGGTGATTGATATAGGACATCACCGTGGTGTTGTCTGTCTTGATCTTGACCCATTCGCCCAGTATCTGTGGCTCGAAAAATCGGAGAGCTTGGAACACTGCCTTCAGTTCCAGTAGATTGGAGGAGGCATTCCTCCATCCTTCCGTCCATAACCCCTGTGCGAATTGGCCGCCCAGGTGAGCTCCCCAACCTGATCCGCTTGCGTCGGTCGTTATCGTGACCCACGGGATGCTCCCCAATGGGAAGCCTTTGCGTAGGTTTCTGTCTTGAGACCACCAGTACAGGGACATTTGGACCCTGTGTGAAATGGCAATCCACTGCCTTTTGTCTCGATATCGGTACTGTTGGAGGAAAGACTTCTGTGCCGCTCTCATATTCCATTGGGCCCACCGAGTGAGGCCTATGGTAGATGACATGTGACCCAACATGCTCATGAAACTCTCGGCTGTGACATGCGTACTTGCCAGCATTGAGCTCACCTTCTGCTTCAGTTTGAGTACTCTGTCCTTGGATACTTGAACCGTGCCCAGTCTCGTGTTGAACTCCGCTCCCAAGTACACCAACTGCTGAGTTGGCGTCAAGTTGCTCTTCTCCAGATTCAGCAGCCAACCATAGCCCTGTAGGACATCCATGCTCAGGTTTCTGCTGGAGATCATCTCCTCTTCGGAATCTGCCAAAATGAGCACATCGTCTAGATAATGAAAAATTATCACCCCAGTTTCCGTATTTCTGCTATAACCGTCACCAGAATTTTGGAAAAGGTTCTGGGAGCGGTACTGAGGCCGAATGGCATCGCCCGGAACTGAAAATGTCTGCGACCGACACAAAATCTCAGGAATTGTTGCTGCCCTGGAGCAATGGGGACATGGAAGTACGCATCCTTTAGATCTATTGATACCATCCACATCCCCGGCTGCACCACCTGTATGATTGTCTGGACAGACTCCATCCTGAATTTTCTGACTCGGATAAATCGGTTGAGCTGATGTAAGTCTAAGACCGGCCTCCAACCACCTCTTGCTTTCGGAGTTAGGAACAAGTGGGAGTAGAATACCTGGGACTGTTGGTTTGCGGGCACTGCAGTTATGACATCTTGAGTCAGAAGGGAATCGACAAAGCCCAACATAGCCTGCTTCCTTATCCCATCCCCCGGGAGTTTGGTTACAATAAACCTGCCTGTTGGGGGAAAAGATCGGAATTCTAGCTCGTACCCTTCTGTGACTATCCTGAGCACCCAAGCGTCTGCTATTGATCTTGCCCAGAGACATGAGAACCGTTGCAGTCTTGTCCCCACTCTCATGTCTCTGGGACCGACATCTTCATAAGGTCTGATCGCGCTTGATGTTCCTTGTACTCTGATCTCCAAGAGGCAAAACAGCTTAACAGGAAAACTTCCCAAGCCATATCTGTCTTTTTAAACAGTTTAAAATTCAAATTTGGCGCAGAAAATCGTCCTTCGATGACGTCACCCAGACCG